GGCTTTTCTTGCGACGTGCGCGGCCGCGCAGGCGCGCACCTTAGAGGGAACAGTGGTTGTAGGAGACAATTTTGTGTACTATGCTTAGGTCAGACTGAAGGTGGCATAGTTCTAAATTGTCTAAGGCCAAAATTTCAAGCCTGGTGGCATAAGGTATTCTGTTGCGAGCAGTGGAGTGGAAAACTGTTCTCGTGAAATACCTCTGGACTCGCTTGATTGTATTAATGCCCAATATGCAGTGCAGGTTCCAGGCAGATGACCTGCATTTGAGAATTAGTCTAGCATATGTTTTGTATGCTCTAGTTAGCAGTACAATATTATCAGAGAAGAAGCTACGCAAAATTAGGTTAACAACCCTTAATACCTTTTTGGCAATGTTATTACAGTTGGCTCTGGCACTTAGATCATTAGAATACAGAAATGGCAGCAATCCACCTTATGTACATTTTCACAGACATTTTACTATGAACTTCTTTCCTTACCTTTTATTTACCTTCCATTAAATTGGTATAATAAACTCTGTAAACATTTCATCATTGTGATAACTAATTTGATATCAGGTATTCAGCTAAGTCAAGAGGCAACTAATGATCAGAACCAGCCTTTATTAATCTATATAATCAAATAACATGAAGAAGTGTAATCCGGAACAGTAAGTATTATGGTCATGCCAAATAGAATGAATGGTGTTTGAGTATCTGTTTCAGTAGGAGGTGGGAAATGAGCTGTTGACATTCAGTGGCTAGAACCCATCAATCTTTTGCATAATTCAAGAGTTGAGAAATTGCTTCTGACTTATTAGGTGCAAAACTAACTCTGCAATTATGATTTGTGGTTTCTAAAGGTGAAGAGCAAGATATATAATTGTTAGTTCTTTAGGAAGTGGTGGGAATAAAAACAGAACAAAGTAAACAGGAACACACAAGCACAAATTTGACAAAACACAACCCCCTTTAAAAATGAGGATTAAATCAAATAAAAAGAGAGAGAAGAATAATGACCCCTCACACATCAACTTCCATTATCATATTCTTGGCAACTGAAACCAACCTTTTCAAATACAAAATGAATTGAAACTTGACATCTGTTTTTCTGTTTGGGAAAGAAAACATCTCCAAATGATGATCCATGAGTAATGGGTTGTATAGTATAAAATTATCATAAAATTATAAAATTAATTGAGTAGAATTTAGAAAGTTTTCTTTCCTTGAATTTTCTTACAATGTTGAAATGGTGCAAAAGTCACAGAACCCGATCTATTTCCATTTAACAGTTAGCTCTACTGAAATAAATTACTTGAGAACAGAATGAGACTGTATCCTCACTTTCATTACAATGCACAGCATAAAATGATTAAAAGACATCCCTTAAAAGTATGGAATGTACTATACAGACAGAACTAGAACTCAAAGTTTCTACATACCAGTTGTCCTTGTTTAATGACCACAGTTAGGACTGGCAACTCAATTATTATGCAAAGTGGTCACTAAGTAAAATTGTGACTGTGCCTACGATCTTATTTCAGTTTTCTTTCCTTTATAAATATACAAAGGTTTTAAATGCCAGGACTGGTTGCAAAGTTATTTTTCAGTCATTGTCGTCACTGCGAACAACTGTCACTGAGGCAGTCACTAAATGAGGACTAGCTGCACAAACAACATAGATATAAATGATAGAAATGGAGAAACTGAAGATGAAATAACAGAAGTAAATTAAATGGAATTTACTTCATTTTCTAATTTGGAGATTATTATTGTCTGTATTACAGATGAATAAGTACATTATTTTAAAATATTTTTTCAATGTTGTCATCATGTAACAATACTCCCCCCATGACAAAATAAGAACATTAGTTCACAATCAGTCAAATCAAATAAAATTAAATCTTTATTCTGGCACACAGTTAACTTACCAATAAAATAAAATTAGAAGGCTTTAAAGCAATAAGTACTACAATTAACCACAGAAGGTATATCTCTCTCTAAAGATTCCAGAAAAATCTAGATTTTATTAAGGATTTATGAGCAGCCTGTTTATTTAATGTTTATGCCTTTTGATTAGCTTTTTAGTGTTTCAAGAATATTGGTATATTTGGGTTTTTTTGTAGATTTTCTTGTAAGATTTAATTCAGAAGAAGAGGAATATGAATGCAGCAGATGCCTGCAATTCATTACAGGTAGTCCTTGGCTTACAACAGTTCATTTAGGGACCATTCTAAATCACTGAAAAAAGTGGCTTATGACCATTTTTCATACTTAGGACTATTTCAGTGTCCCCTTGGTTACATGATAAAATTCAGATAGATGACAAATGATTCATATTTATGATGGTTGCAGTGTCCTGGATCCACTTTTGAGATCTTCTTATAAGCAAAGTCAATGAAGAAGCCAAATTGACTTAACAACCATGTTATTAATGTAACATCTGCAGTGATTTACTTGTTAAGTGAACAACAAGCTAAGAAAGGTCGTAAAATGGGATAAAATTGACTTAAGAAATGTTTTGCTTAGCAAGAGAAATTTCGGCCTAAATTTTAGTCATAAGTCAAGGATTATCTGTACAAATCATGAATGCAAATCATGTTGTTCTGCAGGATGTTATTATAAAGAGAATTTCATTCCAGATCTGCTATCAGATCTGGCAAACAAATACAGATGTTTGCATGCGTCACAAAAAAGTGTTGCATTTACACTCCAAAGTGCCTTTCAAAATGAAATCATCAGGCCTCCTATCAATATTTCACCAATATTGAAAATTAATGGCAAACTGCTTAACATAATTAGCTGACCCATTTTCCAAAATATAGATTTTACCAAGATTACTGATAATTTGAAGCTTTTTTTTTAATGCGCAAGCCAAAGTATTCTTTGTGACACTCTATGGATGCTAAAGTTGAAAATTAAAGAAGCATGATAGGAAGCCTTTGAACTTTGATATTGGGGAAGACTCCTGGAAATACTAAAAAGGTTGAAAGTAGGGGATCACGTCATAACGTCATGATGTGCGATCTTAGAATATTTCATATAAAAGGATGTAAAAACAATTATAGTCAAATGAAGGTTGAGGTACAATCACAATAATATATATAAATATATTTGATTTTAAAATATGTGATTTGATATGAATTGTAAGTGATGGGTGTTGCGTCTTCTCGATGCAGCCAGCAGGCGGGGACAGAGCCACAGGCTCCTGATTGGCCTAGGCGTGCCTGCCGGCTGGCGGGACAATCACTGGCCGCCAATTGGCCAGCCGCCTGACAGCTGTCATATAAAAATAGCTGTCAGGCGGCCCGAGCGCTGTCCGTGTTCTGAAGTTGTTCTTGCTGTTGCCTGTTAATAAAAACATTAACTTTTACCTCACGCCTCATACTTTAAACTGGCGACGAGGATGAGCGACACGGACCCCGTCATTGTCCATGCCCTGGCTCCTTCCTCAGTCTTCGCTTTCAGGTCAGAGGCCGAATCTTGGGATGCTTTTTTAGAGAGGTTCGAGGTCTTCCTCCAAGCTCATGACCTCTCCGAGCTCCCTGAGGGGAGACGACGGGGCACCTTCTTGCACTACTGCGGGCCCGAAATGTTTGCCACTGCCCGGGCTCTTTCGGCACCAACTCCGGTGCACACTATGCCACTGGATCTCCTCATGGCTCGGCTCAAGTTACACTATGAGCTGACGCCTTCCAAGTATTCGCGCCGGCAATTTTTCCGGCGCTGTATCCAAAGACAATCCATCAGCCAGTACGTGGCTGAACTGAGGGCTGCCGCAATAAACTGTGAATTCTCTGATCTTGAGGACGCTCTCCTGGAACAGTTTATTTATGGGCTCCTTGATATCAACCTTCACCGGCAAATTCTGTCCCGCACCGAGCTGTCGATGAAGATTGCGATGGACGAAGCCTGGACTTACAAAATGGCCAGCCAGTCCACCCCGGATGTCCGCCGGTTTCCTCCGTCAGCGTTGCTGGCGCTGCCCAACTCGGCTGTGCATAGCCAGATGATGGTGCTCGATCCGTGTGCCGATGCCACTGCTTCTGTCGACTGCCTCCGCTCCATGCCCCCTCGGGATGGCGGCATGTGCCTCAGCTGTGGTGGCCGCCATCCCAGGGCCTCCTTCTGCTTCCGTACGGCCCTCTGCACCGATGTGGGAAGAAGGACCACATCTCCAACGTCTGCCGCTCTGCTCTGGGAGACTCTCGAAACCCGAGGTCCCCTCCTCCAGCTTCTACCGCTCTGCCTGTTGCCTACTGATGCCAGCCTCCGGGGTCCGCTTCCACCCGCCTGGGGTGCTACGCGGTTTCTGACCCCAAACCTCCTCTCCCCGACTGGCAGCCTGACTCCACTGCCTCTTCCTCCTATGGCGGCCAGGGTAAGATGCATCTTCGCATCTTACTCGCCGGCCGCCCTGCAAAATGGAATTGGACACGGGCTCCGCCCACACAATTATGTCTTGGTACACCTTGAGGTCATTAATACCGACCCTCACTGTTAGCCAGCTGGCCCCTGCTGACTGCCTCCTTCGTGACTACCAGGGCAACCCGATCCCCATCCTGGGTTGCGGGTACTTCCCTGTCAAATTTCGCAAGTTCCACGGCTCCCTGCCCCTTGTGGTGGTCCAAAGCCCCCTAGCTACTCTCCTGGGGCTCGACTGGTTTAGGGCTTTTGGGCTCAGCATTGCCGGCATTAACTCTCTCCGTTTTGTTTCCTCCCTAGATTCCCTCTTGTCAGAGTTTGGTGACGTCTTCTCCGACACCCTGGGTTGCTACAAGGGCAACCCAATCTCCCTAAATTTGGACCCCATGGTGGCGCCACGGGTGAAGGCACGACGGGTTCATTTCACCCTCCGGGCTCGTGTGGATGCCGAGCTAGACAAACTGGTCTCTCAGGGCATCCTGGAACCCATCAACCATGCCCCCTGGGAAATCCCCATCATCCTGCCCTTAAAGGCAGATGTGTCCCTGAGGGTCTGGCCGATTACAAGGCGACCCTGAACAAGGCCCTTCAGGCACATCCTTATCCGGTGCCTGTGGTGCAGCATGTTCTGCACTCCTTGGGCCAGGGCAAGATTTTTGCAAAATTGGACCTGGCCCAAGCCTACCAGCAACTGCCGGTAGATGAGGCCTCAGCCACAGCCCAAACCATTGTAACCCACCATGGCGCTTTCAAGTGCCGCCGGCTTCAGTTCGGGGTCAGTGTGGCTTCCCGGGATTTTCCAAGGGCTCATGGAGCGGGTGCTCCATGGCATCCCGGGAGTTGTGCCCTATTTTGACGATGTCCTGATTGCCGCTCCGGACCAATCAGGACTCGTCAAGACCCTTAGGGCTGTCCTCTCCCGATTCCGTGCTGCCGGCTCGGCGTGCCATCTGTGGAATTCCTTGGGTTCCTTGTGGATTCCCGTGGAATCCACCCCACCCCTTCTAAAATCGAGGCCATTGCCTCCGCCCCCACTCCCTCTTCGAAGGTGGAGCTCCAGGCATTCCTGGGGCTCCTCAATTTCTACTCCTCTTTTATTCCCAAAAAGCTTCTGTCATGGAGCCCCTGCATTGCCTCCTCGAGGCCTCCACCCCTTGGAACTGGACAGACCGCGAAGCGCATGCGCTCGCCGCTGTCAAAACCCTCTTGACTTCTGCCCCTGTGCTCGTGCAGTATGACGAGCACCTCCCACTCCTCCTCGCCTGCGACGCCTCCCCCTTCAGGGTGGGGGGTGTGCTCAGCCACTCCTACCCCGATGGCTCCAAGACCCCGATTGCATTCTACTCCTGCACCTTGTCCAAAGCTGAGCGAAATTATAGCCAGTTGGACAAGGAGGCCCTTGCGGCCGTTGCGGGAGTAAAACGTTTTCATCCCTACCTCTATGGTCGCCGCTTCACTCTCATGACAGACCACAAACCTCTCTTGGGCATCATCTCCGGCGACCGGCCCACATCACCTATCCTATCGCCCCGCATGGGCCATTGGTCGGAGTTCCTCTCCGCCTATTCCTACTCCCTTGTCTACCAACCGGGCCCCCTAGGTCTTTTCTGGTGGGTGAGGGGGTCTTCGCTCAAAATTTCGCAGGGGACCCGAAATGGCTGCCTGGGGTCATTACGGAGCTAACAGGCCCATGCTCTTATAGGGTCTAGCTGGGTGACGGAAGACTATGGCGATGCCATCTGAACCAGCTGTGCCACTGGGCAACCGAGGGGCCACTGCCACCAGCCACCTTGCCCGTTCAACCATCGCGGCCGGGGTCTGCTTACCCAGTGGCCGCCCAACCTGTCCAGCCACGTCCAGCCGCGGGCTGTTGTGTTCTTCCGACACAGCCGGCAGGCGGGGCCAGAGCCGCAGGCTCCTGATTGGTCCAGGCATGCCAGCTGTCAGGCGGCCCGAGCGCTGTCTGTGTTCTGAAGTTGTTCTTGCTGTTGCCTGTTAATAAAAACGTTAACTTTTACCTCACGCCTCGTACTTTAAAATGACTATGGAAGGGATCCACAGAAATTTTGTAACCAACTGACACACTTTCTATAATTTGTAATGGAAGATGGTTTTATGTTTTTTGTTCTGTCCGTTTGTGTTTGTTTAAAAATAAAAAATATTTTTTTTAAAAAGAAATACTAAAAAGGTTAAGATAAAGGCTTCCCTTGTCCTGTTGTGTCCGACTTTAGGGACGGTGCTCACTTCTGTTTCTTAAAGTTTTGAACTGCTGGGTGGCAGGAGTTGGGACAGGAACAGGAGGTCATCACATCACATGGTGCTCAAGTCTTGAACCCAGGCCGTTAGCTTTCCAGCTGTCAAGCTCAGAATCTTTAACCGCTCAGCCATCCCGCCTTCCCCCACCTCCCAAACACTATGGACAGCCAAAAAAACCAACAACTCCAAACTGATGGATCATCAAACAAATCAATCCAGACTTTTCACTCAAGGCACAAATGATCAGGATAAAATGATCCAATTTGGGACACATTGGAGGTGGGGGGGAAGAGTAGCTTCCTAGAGAAGTCTCTAATTCTGGGGAAGGTGGAATCTAAAGGGAAAAAGGAGCAATATGGATGGGCTCAATTACAGTGGTGATGAGTGGACTGTTGGAAGAATAGATCATCATGGAGAAAATCTATGTGGACCCTAAGAACTGAAAACCACTTGATGGCACATAATAAATTAAAAATAAAATTCAATATATTGGCTTTGATGAACCAGCATATTGTCTCTAATTCTAATTCAGGATAATCCCAAGGTAAAAATTAATGATTTTTTAAAAATTTTTAGTTTTTAATAAAGGTAAAAATTAAAGATAATCTCAAGGTAAACCGTTCCAAACTGGGCTGCAGAAAATACAACTTCAGCAACCGAGTGGTCAATGCCTGGAATGCTCTACCTGACTCCATTGTTAATGCTTCAAACCCTCACACCTTCAACCTTAAACTGTCTACATGGACCTCATCCCATTCCTAAGAGGTCCATAAAGGGGGCATCCATAAGCACACCAGCATGTCTACCCTCCTTGTTTTACTGTCCCTTTATTTGTATTCATATTTTTTGTTCATGTCCATGTTCATACTTATACCTGCTATCCTGTACAAACTAATAAATAAAATAATAAATAAAGCAATTGTGAAATGGGCATTGGGAGTCATTCTACCTACATCCAGAAGATTCTGGGGTGTTGGGAACTTAATAAAAATACCAGCAAGAGGGTTACTATTCGTAACTGATTTTACTCCAATAATGCTGATTCAGTTGTAATGCATTGAGATCTTCAGGTAGCCACTATATTACCCAGAAGCTCGTGCCAGCCGAGTTCGGGTTCAGCTCCTGAACGCCGTTGGCCTTTCTCTGAGAGCTGGTGTCGCAAGAACGTTTATATAAGCAGCGTAACCTGTGCGGATTTTCTTCAGGCGTGTTTAATGAAAGCGCTAGGGAAATTTACTGTCGAAGGAAGAGTCAGCTCAGCGGGCGTTTTATTCTCGGAGAAAAGAAACAAAATCTTCAGGCTGGATCAGGAAGATTGAGATGTAAAGGACCAACCCTCGCTCTTTGGAGCATTGTGGTTTCCCCGCCACTTCTGTACTCTTCACCCATGGTCGCTAAGACTCTTTTGGATTGAAACCCTGATTGTGCCTGTTTGTTTGTTTGTTTGTTTGTTTGTTGAGGTGCCATGGGACCAGCGATGGAAAGCGAAAGAAGCAGCAATAACGAGCAGGCAAGTGGAGTCGGGCGAGCGAATGGCTACGGAGTTGCCTGGGAGCTTCCGTAGGTTTGCGTGGTTAGGACAGGCTTGAAAAAGAAAGGGGCGTAATGGAGGAGGAAAATGGCAGAACTGGTTTAGTGAGCGGCTGTGGGACGGAATCTCTTCCTCTGAGCAGGTCATCCCCACGTGTTGAACTGCAGGTCACAGAATTCCCAGCCTGGGAACTGCCCCCCCCCCAAAAAAAAACTGGAGACACCACATTGGAGATTCAGAACTGCATCCATATCATCATGTACGAATGTCAGAAAACCCTTGTCTCTCATTTCTTTTGAAATTAAACACGCCGACCCACGTTATAGCAGCATGTTAAAGAAAAAGCAGAAGAAATGTTTTTCACGTTCTCAAGTACACAACTGAAATGTTTGTGCTGGTTAACACTAACGCGTCCCGGCTGCAGAAATCTCTACGGCCAATGGAGGAGAGAATGAAAACTCTTCAATTTGAAAAGTCTATTTAGCGATCTTCTGGATTTTGTAGCCCAGATTGGTATTTTTGTGTGTGGTTATTCTTCCTGGTTATAAATGGGTAGGGACATCAGGGGCGTTTTGCAGATAATAGATCATTATTTGAAATAATACATTAGAAATAGATTATCATGGAAAAAAATCCATGTGGAATTTAGTTCTTCTGTTAATATGGGAGGGGGCATACTGCTTCCCTTTTCTGTCTATCGGCTCACTCTGGCCATTTTTTTATGTTACCTTGTTACATTTGTGTTGCATTTATTTATTTATTTATCAGCACAAATTAATAATTAATATCTGCATATATATTCAAAATATCTGCATAACACACACACACATGATACTGTCAACAATAAGTAAGCTTTGCTTTCCCTATACTCACTGGGAAATTCTGGGAGCTGAAGTCTATCCATCTTAAAGTTGTTAAAGTTGAGAAACACTGGTCTGCAGAAAAGATTGCCAGATCTGAATTGCAGAAATCAAGGATCCTTAGGGAGCAGCTGAAAGATAGAAAGGCTTTGTTGCCCTCTAACGGTCATCCAGTATATATAGAATTTGGAAAAAAATGTATTTTTGCTTCTTGGTGGAGAAACATTTTGTCCTGTTTTAGGACACAGCCAAATAATACATTTTATAGAAATATTATTCTGGCTGACTTCATCTTTCTTCTCCCAGCAAAGTGTTTTCCTTTTTTTTTGCTCCACACCCAACTGCATATATCAGGAATATTCCATTTCCTAGTAATTAATTTTATGCTCCATAAACTTGAACTAGGTCTATTATTTGGATTGGTTGATTTAGATTTGGGTGTGTTTATCAAGATTATCTTGATTGTTGCATAGCTAGCATATTTAGACCTCTGTGATGTTTCTGACTGGGCACTTGAATTATTTCCTGTGGGATGAAGACACAGTAGTGCTGTGGAAAGAATGTGACTAAATACTGCCTGCATTGATAGTCAACAATGATCTTCTCTACATGCCTTCAATATCTTTTGGAAGAATGGCTTCTTAACAATCTTCTTTATATAGTTGTTTATTCAGTGCTGCTGCTTGCTACTATATTATTTGCTGTTCCACTTGCCATCGTATTATTTTTTTATTTTTCTGCTTTATTTCTCCTCCTGTATGAAAGGACTCACAAACTGAATGGAAATTATTCCAGTGATATATGGGATCCTGTGAGGCTAATAATAGCAATCATATTGGATGGATATGGAAGATTATGGCATGGTAAGCAAATGTGTATTAGTGAGAAACTTAGATTCTCTTACCAAATTATCTACATTTGTTGGATCATATCAGCATAACTGTATTTACTGAGATAATCAATGTTTAACTCACAGTATTGTGTATCCATAAATTATTCACCTAATAAATGTAAATGGCTGCGTATATCACTGAACATGATTCTGGGTGGTGAACAGCCAACAGTTAAAACAATAACTGTAACAATTATTAAAACAAACAACTTTGTAGCTAGTTATCATTAGCTAGTCCTCCAATTGTCAATATGGATTATACAAAAGCACTAAAATTGGGAACATTGACCAACATCCAAAAATAATGTTAATATTTAATACATTGTACTTATTTTTTAAATATTTGTGTCACTTTATATGTATTGCTTCTTTGGATTTTGTTGTTAGTTGTTTAAAAGATCAGTAATTGCCCAGCCCTACAGGTCTGGGCAATTACTGATCCTTCAAATAATGTCAAATTTCAGTTCCTGATGGTTGCAAATCTAATGGTGAATCACGGTGCATGTTAAGTGTGCTGCCAGGTCAAGATGGAGTTAAGTCTCATAGCGGTCATCTACCACAGCTACCATAATATGCCTACTGTTATAATTAGTTCTGGCTTTTTGCTACTTGAGAAATGCCATTTTGTTGCACTGAGAGGAAAAAGAGAGTAGCTAGAGGAGACTCCTGTTTTGTTTTGCCTTCCAACTTCTACTAAACCAACATGATTGGATATTATGATTCAGTAAAGGAGCCAAAGGCAGTATAGCCTTCATTATATCATAAGATGCTTGGAAGGAGAGACTTGTCACAAACATAAACACAAAAATGCCAGCGGTGTAATTTTATTTCACATTTTTTTAGTAGAAAACATTTGCATTTTGGTACAAAACAGAAAGATTTGGAAGAGGCTTTTGCTACTTAACCAACTAACCAACATCAAACGGTTGATTATTTTCAGTGCTCTGCTTTTGGCTAGGAGGAGCAAAGGGTCATTACCTGTCTCTGTAAGGGCTACAGATTTATAAACACATCTGCTCCACTTGTATCTTGTGGTGTGATTACAAATACAAATTGCAGCATCCTTGTTAGTGTCAACTGACAAGGATGCTCCAATTGTAGAGTCTAAACACTTGAGCAACAGACTTGTTATCTGCAGATGCTCAAGTTTATGCACCACCGCATAGCCTTTTCCCTACTGCCAAGTGTTCCTTAGCACAGGAATCCATCATTGAGAGCATCTCATAAGAATTCTGCTGTGGGTGCTCTGATTAAAGAAATGAAGCAGTAGTATTTTCTGGTTCTTCCCTCTCTGTAAAATCTGTAGCAACCATGTTGTTGGAAAGTGGGAGCAGGGTAGATACAAATTCTGGATAGATCTTGGGATGTAAAAAGACCAGTTAATTGAAGAAAATGCCTTGTCTCTTGCTCAGTCACTGGAATGTTTCAGTGAATGAATTTTTCTTAAATGATTAATACTTCCCCGAGTTATCATACTAGACATGTCCAATACAGTTTTCTTAGCAATGTTACAGAAGTTGTATTACTGATGTTCTAAGAGATGCCTAATTTTTCTGGAGCACACTACAGTTCTGGAATTTCCTATTAGTTTCCACTTAAGTACTAATTAGGTCTAATCAGCCAAGGTCAGTTAGGTGCCACCACTTGCTATGACTCCATAAATGAAAGTTCTTAATTCCACAGAAAACATACTCTTAATTCAAAATATATTTGATTACAGATGGAAGCTTTCAGTACATAGAAATTTCAGGCAGTTGTTTGATTGTGACTATGGTATTTACTAGTTAATCACATCTAAAATTTGATATTCTGCAATATAATCATTCATGTGGTAAATGTGCATGGCATTTTAATTAGTGTATTTCTGATTTATATAGCATAATATGGAATAACCGTTGGTTTATACTTTGCATTTCAAACAGGGTATGAGCTACACGGCATTGAAAACATACCGGATGGGCCAGGGTTAATTATTTATTACCATGGAGCAGTTCCTATGGACTACTTGTGTTTTCTCGCTAAAATTTTTATTCTGAAGCGCAAGTGTTGTTACTCAATAGCAGATGATTGTGTTTTCATATTTCCAGGTGATTTTTATAAGTTATATTAATATATATGATAGTAAAACATTTCATTTAGTTTGTTTTTCCAAATTTTAGGAAGCTTGAAATATGGATTTTTATATGATCAGTTTCCTGTGTTAATAGCCAGCATCTGCCAAAGGTTCTCAAAACTTATTTTAGAGAACACTTTCTGTTTACTAGAAATTGTTAGCTATTATTAGTGATTTAGAAGTGTGTTAAACAAAAGAGTAGGAAAAAGTATTTACTTCTATCTAATCATATTCTTATCTATGTATGAAACTACCAGTTCTATATACACTTCTGGCATAATCTAGTCAGTTGTTAGAATCAGTTGCTCATGAAAAGAAAATGAAATAATAGAGAATATGTCCTTAGTAGAAGTGTTACACACAACTAACCCCAAAGAAACACACAGCAGTTCTGGATGTTTTGCAGAATCACTATTGATGAACTGGATTATTAGAACACAGAACACATGAAACAAACCCTTAGAGTGACCTGAACTGATTTTAGGGGTAGTATGCATTGCTCCTTCTTTCCCTGTTTTCTTTTAGGAGGTCCCAGCATAGATGATGATGATGATGATGATGTATTAAACTTGCACTTCATCTGACACTTCCTTCTGCTGCTAATCCCTACCAGTCTGATTGTGATCTATGTTCTATCAGAAAATACCCAAACAGTTTAATTCCTTTAATTCATTTCCACAAACAAGCAACAAAATTGTTTATAAATTATGGTAGGTAGTGTAGGCATAATGGACCTCATCTTGCAATGGCATAGTGCTGAATTGCTCTTTTATACGCTATATTAAATCAATTAGGCTCATTTAAAAACTACACACTTCCATGCAAATTTCAAGTTCTCCATGCAGGTACATAGTTAGGCAACACAGTTAATAAAGTAGTATAAAATTATGCTGTGGCATTGCTCATTTCTTAGTCTGTTTTTCAAATATATAGTATGGACACAATTTTGTATTACAGATTAATTTTCAATGTCTTAATAAATTATTTCACAGTATAAATTTTGAAAATGCTTTTATTTGGCCAAATATATGAAATATTTCCATAATGACTTACATGTATTAAAAATAATTTATACTTTTAACATAGAAAATTAATTGAAAGTATGTTATTTAATTGAAAGTATGTTATTAATTGAAAGTATATTTTCATATAACTAGTATTTCAGCCTTCAGGTGAAATTAAAAATTAAAATAAATGCAGATTGAAAATTTCTTTCTCCTTACATACAACCCCAATCAGACACACACACTTTAAAATTCTGATTTGATCCCTTCTATTACCTTAAGGTAAAGCATTAATTCAACTTCATAGATCTTTACACATAGCATATTATGTTGTAATCTTGCACTTTCTTTCAGGTGTTCAAGCTTTAGCTGGTGTGACAGGTATTATTCAAAATAAAAAGGAAGAGTGTTTAAATGTTCTCAAGAAAGGCAAGCTACTTGGAATTTCTCCAGGAGGAATGAGAGAAGCACTCTTTAGTGATAAATCATACAAGCTCATATGGCATAAGCGTAAAGGTTTCGCTCAGTTAGCTGTAGATATGAAAGTGGTAAGTATGGTGTTCATATCATTATTAAATTTTTGCTGATTACATTTTATCAGACAGAACATGATGCTAACCAACTGGAAAACTTAGCTTTAATATGATAAGATTTTTTTCTGAAGATAACAGCTGACAAAGTATATTTACTGTAACTGCTGTTTGAGAGTTAAATAAATAAAATAATAATAGCCTAGTTCATATATCCTAATTTTGGAACAAAAGGAAATAGTTTTTGACTTAATTCTTCATAGCCGTGATAGCAAAACTCTTTTCCTTCAATTAACATAGGTCCATACTATACCTCCCCTATTGCTTATATCATATCTTCTGTGATTTTACTGCTATGAAAGAAAATAGTTCTTACCTTATCTTAATGATAAATATTTCAATATCTCAAATATTTTCTCAATATTCAATTATTTAGTAAACAACTACATTTTTTTTATATTTTAACCCTCTGATTAGATATTCATTCAGTTAAAAAATGGAAGTACGACCTATTCCAAAGATTTATTATTACATAATTGGCATTTTGTGTGTACATAATGATGATTGAACCAGGTATTCAGTATGGAGGGAAAGTTCAAAAATATCAAGAAGGGGCCATATTAGAATGTTTAATAAAACTAATCATGCAAATAGAAAAAAAAACAGTGGTACCTTGGTGTCAATTGCTTTGAAACTCATCTAATTTAGTTACCAATACATTTTGATTTGAAAATTTTGTCCTGGTACTCATTGTTTGTTTGTTACTTAACACACAAATTTAAGACACAAGTGTTAGCTGCCTTGTGACTCACTTTATTATTCCTTATGGGAATAATTGTTTGGTAGTAATCATTTCTGATACTCATCATACCTCCCAAGTACCGATGTACTACTGTACAGAACTTGGAGAGAAAATTAAGTCTCACATAATTGGGTCCTTTTCACTCAGATTCCTAGCATTTCAAATCTTTTTCTGTTACCTGGGTTTTTTCTTTCATTCTATCCCTTCAGATCCAGTATTTTGTATTTTTTAATAATCAAGAAGAGGCATTTTAATCTTATTCAATCATTTACAGTTCACTTTATTTTTATACAAAAATAAATATACTAAGTTTACCTGTACACTGCAACAAGACTATCTTTCTTGTTAGAACAGTGTATTTATCTTGCATTAAAGTGGGATTTCGTTTCCATTTGTGATACTCTGGCCAAAATGACCGGCTGACTTTACCATTAATAGCAAATGCTGCATTTGTCATAAACATTACTAAAACTGATAATCTAATTTTTATCATCACCTTATTTAAAAGCATTATGTAAAATTCTCAATTGACCAAGGCAGGATGGGTAGGGAAGTTCAGTATCTATGGGCCTATCTGGGACTGATTATAGCACATAGAAAACAGTAACTTGGATGAAAGAGGAATAAATGAAATCTTCTATGTTCTGTTTGCATAGTCTGAATATCAGGTCCTGTCTAGTGTAGTTGATCCATGCTTTTATGAATCTATTGCCTAGCCCTAGTGACTATTGTGCTGCTATAATTGGCGCTTCAATGCAAGTAGCATTGCCTTCAGCTGTCAGCTGTTGCCCTCAGCATTTCAGCAACTCAGCTGTCAATGGTACATCCCATGTAGGGTTTTGCCTTGCCATGGCACTGAAGACTGGTAAGGCATACACATTGATGTTGTATCTCTTGTTCTTCCCATTGAATTGGCTCTTCAGGACCTGTGTTTTATCCTTTGGTGGTACTTAAATGCTGCTGTCCTCTTTGTCTGTCCTGTGATTCCTATGTAATTGTGGGGTACACCAGGTACTTGTAACTAGTCTGAATGTTTGCTCTCTGACCTGCTGGTAGTTCCACCCTATCAGTTTTAAACTACCTTCCTTCTCTTTTCTACCATGCTGTAGCTTTCTTGTAAATGCACAACACATGGGGTCAGAAGTGAATTCTTCTACAGCAGTAATGGATGCTAGAGTCAAAGGTTTGATTAAAACAAAAAAACAAACATTTTAAAAAACCTTGTTTATTTAGTAAAAGGTTTACTAAACCTTCTTTGCAGTGTTTACACTGTTTTACACTAATTATTGTTGCACCGTAAAACAGAATCAGCAAAAGACTGGAAGATCAGTTGCAACATTACTGAGCAATCTTTATAGAATAGTGCTTTTTTGTTAGCTTTTTCTTCTTCCTCTTCTTTTTTTAAAAGATGCTCTGGAGTCATTGCCAAATTTGAGGCTTTCTGGGAATGAGGAAATCAAAGGCAATGCTTTCATCAAGGATTTCTTAACAGCAAGGATTACATGACAGCAATTAGCTACCATGAAAAAGAGATCTCATAGAAAATAGCACTGTATTAGGCAGTGGCTAGAGAAGATTTCCTTGAATTGTGTAATACATTTACATTCAGGGATTAAGAAAGTAACATCTTTTAAATTCTATTGAAGAAACTTGAGGCTTGTTAAGGGCCATAAAAAAGTAAGGTAATAAAAGTTTTATCTTTAGATTACATCTACCTAATCCAAAATAATTGAATGATTAGTAAGAGTAAATATTTTGATAGTGCTACATTCAATTGCATTATTGAATAAAGAACAAATTATTTTGGCCATAAGAAATGAGACTGTTTGTCTCTTAAAGAAACCAGATTGTCCCTACAAAATGCTACTGGTACACATTTAGTGGTAGAAATTTACAATTTAAAGGTATTGAAACAGCAAATACTTATGGAAAAAAAGGAGACCAAAACTGTAATCCAACTCTCTGCTCAAAAAGCTCCCCTCGTCCGGGACGTAATATTAGACGAGGGGGAAGACCTGGCATGTATTA